TCGCCTTCCCCTCAGAGCTTGCCCTCCTTGCGCGGGCTCGGTACGCGTTGGAGGTCTGACTTCTCAGCTGCCCCGGGAAGGAGCCCTGTGGGGACCTCAGGTTCTCCATTTTCAGGGCATCGCTTCAGTAAACCGTCTCTTTTTGTTGCCTGTTTGTGCAGTGTCAAAAGCGCAGTGGGATCTTAAATCCTGCACGCCCAAACCGAACAGTGCTTTAATCATCGCTTGTGACTAAGTGTCACTTGCTGTGACTAAGAGTTGCAGGATAAATTGGGTATCCTTGGTAGCACATGGAAAAATATTGTGGGGTGTTTTTTTTTTTTTTTAAAGAAGGCAAACAAAACCAACCTGAATTGGCGAAAGTAAGCATTTCTTAGTAATTTTCCTCTTTTGGTTTTATATTAAGAGCAGTTGCTTGGATTCTGCCCTCTCAGAATAGTTGGGATTAATGTTAGGCTTGTGCCGTGTTCTCCAAGAATCTAAAGGTTTTGCTGTCCTTGCTATCATTTTGACTCATACTGTTCTTTTAAACCATTTTATTTTTACCTCACTGGTGTCTCACCTCTTGAGAAAGATGTGATTTTTATTGCGTGAGCCTAACCTGTGTCCTGTTTATGCTCGTCTTTCTTGCACCGTGGTTCATATCAGAATCGGTACAAAACCGTGTTGTTGCTTATGCTCAGGTAAATGGTGACATTTAAAAACTGCTGGCAGTCTTTGTAGAAAATTGATGCTGCTGAATCATGTGGAGCATGATGGGCCCATGGGCTGGGATCAATGGTGCTTCTGGCTTTTCTTGGAGCCTGGAGAACGTTGTGCTTGCCCTGGGACTGACTCCATCTCATTGTACCCCGTGCTGGGATTGCTGTCTCCTGGGAGGAGATGGTATGAAGTGCTCCTTAGGCCTCTTCTCCTCTGTGGGAAAGTTACACCAGCATGTATTTTTGTATATCTAGCTCCTATCACCTTTCACACCTCACTTTTTGAGGGTGTCCTTCCTCCCCGTTTTTTTTCTAAATTCTTCCTCATTTTGGCCTTAACTGTCTCTCTTGGCTTAATTGCCACGTTAGCTACTCAAAGGTCCTCATTCAAGTGAGCGCAAGTTTGCCCTTTATTCTTTAGGTATATATTTTTATATGGACTTCCTAGTAATGGGTTTTGAAATGTTGCATAGTAACTAATTTGGTTATATTTTGTTTCACTTCGTGTACTTTCACCCGTTTCTATGTCTTGAACTCTGATCTGCTTGATAGGCTAATAATAACTCTTGGGATAAAAAAAAGACTTAATTTTGTTCTTATCTGACTAGCGATTTCTGTTGGTTTTGGAGAGAACAAGATCAATCAAAACTTCACTGACTTTATTAAACACAAGTAAAAATTGTAAAAAATTTTTTGTAAAAAAAAGTAAAAACACTACTAGAATAGTAGTGTTTCATTTTTTTCTGGCTTCACCTGACTATACACTTTGTCAAACAATAATTTAATTGAGACACCATTACAATGCATGTTACTTAAGACTTGTCTCTGTATAGAAATATTCTGGTCTTGCGACAACTATTTAACTGCTAGTGTAATCTAGCTCCTTAAGCTAAATGTAAGGGAGAATCTTTTCACAAAATAAAGATGCATGATGTGTTTGAGATGACTATTTATTTAATGCACAGTGCTGCTGACAGAGCAAATGTGGTAGGAGCTGTCTCTTTACTTTTTATGTGTGTACAGTGCCCTTTGTCATGAGAAGCACAGTTGTGGAGCTTCTGTTAACTAACAAGCAAGCTGTAGGCTTTATTCGAAATACAGCAAGTGATTCTTATTTCTTTCTAACTTCATAGGTATTGGAGCTGACAATGACCTTTATATAAACCAGGCCATAGTATTTATTGAAGATGCGATACAGGTAAACATAACTTGTTTGTTAGCTATTATGCTTCCCATGCTGGATATTTGTCACGCATTCTGCTAGCTTTTAAATTTTTACTTGTCCAGGCAACCTCCGTATAACATCATCTTGATTTACAAAGCAAAATCAGAATTCCAAATTCCTGTGGTATACAAGTTTCAGTGAACTTCTGACTAGGAGAAACATGTTTTCAAACACAGTGAAATAGATAGTGTCTTCTCTTCCAGATTGTCAAAGGAGACGCTGGCTTGTGGGGTGGTTTTTGCTTTTGGGTTTTTGATGTTGGGTTTTTTTTGTGGGGGGTTTGTTGGGGTTTTTATGAGAGTGGCTGGCCTTACTGCTAATAGAAACCATCTGAGCAAACCCTGTAATTTACCTCTAAATCTGACTACTTGCATAACTTAAGGGCTGGTAAAGTTTAAGGCTAGCTTCAAGCGAGAAGCTGGAAGCCTTTTGCTCCAGTTGAACTTAGTGCCTTTGGAAGAATTCATTCTCTCTTTGTCTCTCCTTTGGTGGCTGTCACTACAGATTCCTAGATCCTGTTATCCCACAGTTGTTAGTTGCAGGCAGTGGGAATGCTGAAGGGCAGTTCTTGAGCTCTCTTGCTGCATTCATATAGCTTTTTGCTGGGAGATTTTTGGGGATCAGATACATTTACGTTGTGCATATCTTTATAGAATTGGATACCTCTCGGCAGAGGCAGAGTAACAGCAGCCTAGGAGCAGCTGTAGAGGGAGGGGCTGAGCAGATTTCATGAAAAGTAGGCCTGTTCTGAAGAACCACCGGTACTTCCTTGAACTTAAAGCATGTTCTGTTTAAAGATGTAGGTTGAGGTCTCTTATATTCAGAATTAATTTGTTTGCATTGTATGGATTTTTGGAATTGAAAGACAAAAGAAGATCCATGGATGGAATGAATGCTAGAAAGGTCTAAATGGTCTAAAAACCTAAATGGGTGGAATGTTTTGGCAAGTGGATAGAATTATTACAGATACCGTTATTTGTAATGATGATAATGCTTGCTTCAGGTGACTGCCACACAGTTTGATTATCTGAGTGACTGTGTGGTCTTTAGATTAGGAAAACTTTATCAAAATCTTTCCCGTTGCACACATGTAGACTACAGTCATGGTCATTGCTAACTGGCACTTTAATAATTGAGACCTTGTACAATAATTTCTTTATCTTATTGTGAAACTGGAATTGTCTCAAGACTTGAGCTTTGTTGATTAGAACTTGGTTTATTTTGCTAGCTTGGTCTTTGTCTTTGCGAGAGACTGACTGTAACGTTTGAATTATCCTTTTTGCTTTCTGCCTTCAGTATCGATCTATAAATCACCGCGTAGACTCCAAATCCCTGTGGCTTTATCGATGGTACTACTCAAGAACTTGCCAGTGGTAAGAACTTGCTATTCATTTTGCTTTTTAATTTGGGACTAAGTCTTTACAAAAAATATTCTTCATCTTTCTTTTTTTGTTAAATATTAGATAATTGTGCTTTTGTCCTTATAAGAACTTACTGTATGAAGCAAGTGGATTGACTACATGAAAACATGATAGAAGTGGAAAGCAACAAGTTATATCAAAGCAAGAAGCGTTATCATGTAGATGGCTCTTCGGGACAGCCATAGGAGTGTTGCATGGATGGTCTGTTGGCATGATTTACAGCACTGTGTTGGGAGTTTTCAAGTGTCTATTTCTAAACATGTTAAATAGTAGCAAGATTGTTTGTGGCTGTTAGTTTTGAAAGAACCCCACCTAAAGTTATTTGGTGGTCAGCAGTTAGATTATTCTAATACAGGCAACAGCATGCTAATCAAGTGCTGCGTTGTATCCTAAGCCATTTGTGTTAAATATGATATTATAAAGCTTGATTTACTTCTAAGAAAATTGCTTTACTAGTATTTTGTTATTCTTTTGACTCATTTTGTGGGTTTGGTGTTTGTTTTGGGTTTTTGTTTGTTTGTTTTAAAAATTATTTTTTTCATTTAATCTCTATCCAAACAGGATTTTGAGTTTAACCATTACTACAATCCTGGCTTTGGCTTTCATTGAAAAGCCTTCTTCACTTACTATCACGTCAGATATACGATACCGCCTTCCTGCGTGGAATCCTCCGTGTGGCCTAACAGAAAGCGTTGAGCTGCTTTGTTTTTTTGTGTTCATGGTTGATGTATCTGTGAAGGTGAGCATCACATTCATCTGGTACTGCATGAAATATTAGGTGTGTTGGGCAGCTCAGGAGGTATAGTAAGTGTGGCATTTCTGCATTTTAGTTTTTGGGAAATGTCTTAGAACTGTTATTCAAATCGTGGATTTGCATGATGAGATTGCTTTGCTACATTAAAGCCTTACTTTCAGGAGAAATTAGGAAGTGCATTATTTTCTGAATCAGAAAAATTATTGCTTCTGTTTTAACCTAAGAAATGTAACTCCTGTTTGTGCAGAATAAGTGAAATAAATTTTGCTAAGGATACAATGACTTTAGCTTAGTTGCTTGTATTAAGCTATAAAAATTGGTAATCAAATATATGCCAGTTGATTTAAACAAAGCAAAATAAAAATAATCAGAAACCGAACTTTTCTTTGGATATTTGTTTCTGGAAAAATATTTTTATGGTTATTAAGTGGTCATTTTTCTTGCATTCAAAGGACTCCTCTCACATGGCCTATGTGCACCTCTCGCTTCTATTGACCTTCAATTAGTTCTTGTAGAAAAATTCTCTGATCAGTGTATTTTTCTTTGGATTTCGAGGAGCTCTTCGTGAGCACTGATGTAAAACTACAAATACTTGGAAAACAATTGGTGCTGACTTGTTAGGGTATTGGAATTTATTAAAGTATGTTGTTTGTTGTGGATTTTTTTTCCTTCCCCAGAGTTACTTAATTGGATGGGAAGAATTTTGGAAAAATAAATGGCTAATAGCTTATATACTGACATTAATTGTTTCCCTTACTGATTGGATTGTATCGCTGAGTCTTTTCTGCACAGAGGTAAGAACTGCTTTCTTGCAGGAACAGTCAACAACGTAGCTGTGGGGAGCGGCAGAGGAGAAGAACCTGCAAAGGGGTAGTCAGCCGGGTGCATGTGGTATACTGGAGAATAAAGGGAGGAGGGTGAGGTGGTTCATTTTTGGTCTTTGATACTGGATAATACCTGAAACACAGAAAATGTTTGGTGTAGTGTAGCTTCTCAAAGGATTCTGTTTGATTCTTAATGCAGGATGGGAGTTCATTGGTAAAATTAAATAAAGCTTTGTTGCTGTAGTCTGTCAACAGTCAAAGAGTATAGAGAAAACTCTGGTTACAGAACACCAATTTTGTCATACAGTTGGAGAATTATGCTCTTAACTTGATTCAACAGCAGAGCCTGTGTAGTGATATATAAGTAAAAGGTAATTGTATGGTTTAACAACTGCTTTCTAAGATGAATCTGTGTTGTTTTTAAAACAGCTGTGTCTTGAATGTCAATTTTACAAAACTGTTCTAGAAGTGTTCTCCTTTATGTAATAATGCAGTCTCCCAATTGGTTTTCTCTGCTGTGACATAAATCTGCATGAGATCAGTTGTTCACTTACAGTCATTACTAAGAAAATATTTATGTGGTAAAAATGCTGAGCAGTGAATGAGTCAGGAATCTTGGATTTTGCTTCTTGTGTAAGTTCTTGTGTCAAAGCCATTATCTGTTGCCTTCAGATAACTTTCAAACCTATTTCAAATTATCGTATTAGTCAGAATTAGGTTGGATGCAGTTGCTACTATTAGTAACCCACTGCTTAGTTGCTCATGCTTCAGTGGTCAGTTGACCGCTGGTCACGGTTGACCAGGATGAGATGTAGTATTAAAAAGATTATCTTAAAATGTTGAAAGAACTTGTCACTTAAGTTTATAAGCATCTAAGTATAGGAAAAATGCATATGTCCTTTTCGTATTCAAGCCCAATAAATATAATCTGGCTGAAAGAAGTTAACTATCTATGATGAAGATTATGCTTAAAACATGGGGAGTCTTTCTTGGAAAGAAGCGATTGTAAAATCTTTAGGTGTGATAATGGACAAGCAGTTTGAACAGGAACCTCCCATCCAGAGCAGTGGTGGCAAGAACAATTTAACAGTGGGGATGTATGAACAAGGGAATAGCGAGGAAGGAAGTGATTTTTTTTTTCTGTTTTGATTGGCCTGGAGAAGACTGATCCTAAAATGCAGGATGCTGAAATAGCTTGAAATAGTGTTTTTATGTTACACTGTTGTTTTTGTTGATATGTATATCAGTGTTTTTTGACAAACTTGCATTAAATATACTTGTGGTGCTAGTTTTATGGGAACTCAGTATCTGATCCATTGGTTTTTGCAGGATGTGAGAATAAGAAGAATTCTTCGTCCATTCTTTCTCCTTCAGAATTCTTCTATGATGAAGAAAACATTAAAAAGTATCAACAGCACCTTGCCTGAAATGGCAAGGTAGGTAATAGCATAGAAAACATCCTTTCACAGCAAGCATGTAGTTACCCTTAGCATTCTGGCACGTGACAACTGAGTAGCTTCCTTCTTGATGGTCTAGCTAAGTGGCTGGTGATATCAAGTAGCAACGGATGGAGGTTGTGTTAACTTTTTGTTTCCTTTAGTCTGTAACATTTCTCGAGAATGCATGTGATGTGACCCTGTATGTGACATACAGCCGTTTTGTAAGGGAAGAACTGAGGCATCATCTGGGCAAAGGTCTATGCTGTGTTCCTCCAAGGTGGCCTCTCAGAAGTATGGGTAGACACAAATGTACTTGTCTTCTGGTCATGAGTGCCACACAAGACTAGCACAGAGAGTGCCACTTATTTATATCTTCAGAGTGCTTTACTTCAGCTTTTTAATTTCTAAATGGTTTTGGCAATGTATGTGTTAAATTTGTCATTAGAAAAATTGAACTGCAAACCCCACTGGTGAAATCTTAACTAGACAGCATGATGCTTTTTGAAAGAGATCTCTTCCTGTGGCATGCGTTGTGTATGCGTACAGCTTACAGAACTCACTGTCCTTGCCTATTACTTCTTAACTAACAAGTCCCAGGAGAATCGAAGCTGTATGCAAGCCAAGATGTATTTTGATCAGAGGGTATAAATATGGTCCGAACTTCAGAAAAACAAGTGTTAGCATCTCATTGACTTGACAGTTGTCTAAGTTAATGCTGAGGAGACCTAAACAAGTGTGATTCTTATTTAGAATCCAAACTTGGATCATCTTCTGTTATTTCCATATAGCATCTTAAAACTACCCCTGGTTTTCTTTATGTGGCATCCTTTTGCATTTTTAGCAAAGGATATTTAGAGTAAGATAAAGTTGGTATTCATGCATATGGTATGCTTTCTTTCCAACAGTGTTGTTCTACTACTAGCTGTTCATCTGTCTCTCTTTACCATGTTTGCTATGCTGCTGTTTGCTCGAACAAAGGTAACCGAATGTATTTATGCTTTGGTAGATCTTGTTGTTGTTTTTTTTTTTTTCTTTACTCGCAGAGCTACTGTATGTCTAGTTTTATAATCAAACTAGTGAAACTTGTTTGCCCTGCAAAGGTTATGTTACCATGTCAAACTTACTAGCGTAAGTTTAAAGTCCATTTAGAGAGATTTAACATGTGCATTGTATCCATGTATAGTACTGTTTCTGTAAGTGTACATTAGAAGGCCACTCAGAATAGTGTAAGAATCTCTTCATCATATAGTGAATAATTTTTTCCAGACTGTGCTTTGCTTATTAAGTGATAATGCTCCATCCTACTCCACAACTGAAATTTTTCACTCTTACTGTAAGCTGTGGCATGTCATTTAATTAGTCTAGCTCAGCTGCTCAGAGTGAAGTTGGGTGGTTCCATACTAAAATTGTGGTTGACATCCTCATTTATGATCCTGCACAGTACTGGTATTGATGCCATTATCACAGGTGAGAAACTGAAAGCCTGTTTATATGAGAGGCTTCCTTATACAATTCTCCAATTTAATCCTTTGCATTACCTTCTCTGTTTTTGTTGAAACCTTCTGTTGCTGTTCTGTGTCCAAAGCTCTTAATCCTGTCACTTTTTTGTTTATATTATCACTCATTTCTTTCTCTTTTCCTTATATAGCTTTTTGCTAAGTTTAGTTTCTTCTGTGTTTTCTTATCTTCCAATACCGGTATCCCTCACCACGCCTTGGTAGGTTTCTGCCTGTTTTTGCCTGCATCACTCCAATGGTTTAGTTTCTGATCCCTCTGTTTTTTCTCTTCCTGCTTCTGAAAAAGCAAATTTGAAATTTTGTGGTTAAAATCACTTTTGTGTTCCAGTGCTCTTGGTATGTTCCCGCTCTCTTAATCTTCTTGTTTGCTAATGTATTATACTGAGATTTTTTTTCTGTCCTTACTTTTTAAGCCTTCCATAAATGCCGTCTTACAAGCACAAAGATTTGTTATATACTTCTCCCAGGAATTTTAGTCTTCTCCTTAAGCTCAGTTTTGCACCTTCATCCCTGCTGCAATTTACACTTGAGCCTGCCTCTAGTCTTCCTTACGATCAGCAAATTCCTTGAATTCCCATGTTACAGAATTTCTGAAATCAGCAGTAGAGCACTATTTTTCCTCTTTGTTTAATTACATGCTGGATCTTTGCATTATGTCTGTATGTCACATCTTACTTCAGTTATGAGCTTTCCCAGCAGATGGGAATGTAATTTGTATACCTGAAGCAGTCAAATTTGTATACATTTAGGTGAAAAATAACAAATTAGAGAGCAGTCCTTATTTCCTTTTTTGATTTGCTACTCTAATACCCATACAAACTGACTGAATCTAACAAGGCAAAATACTGAAAGCAAGTTTTAAAAATACATGTAGTAATGAAATTCATGCCTCTAGATTTTTGCATTGTCTTGTGTATGTCCTCTAGAGGTATATATTTCTGGTCTTTGCAGCGGATTCAAGAGCTTTTTGTTCTGTGCTGCATGATTCATGTTTGAATTGCTTGCACTCTGCATCTTTTTTAGCTGTCTGTACTTCAGCTTGGGGGGGGGGAAAAATATATGGATGATCTAAGATCAGCCTCCCAGTGTGTTTTTGATAAAAATTATGATACCATCAGAGCTTTAGCATATCATTTGATGTTTCCACTGAGCCACAAAATAATTTTCATGACCTTAGTCGCCAAGGTATTTGCACATATTTTTCAGTAGCACTGATCTCCCCCCCACCTCCCTGATGTTTTAAGCTCTACGTGATGTTTTCGTGGATACTGTACATAGCATTTTGAATCTTCATTCTTTTCAAAACAGAACAGTTGCATGTTTTCCATCTGCCCAATAACTCCTCTAATGTGCGCTAATGCTGGTTATAGCATATTGCTTTAAATCGTGTGCTGTTATTTGTGTAAATATTTCTTTCCTCTAAAATAAGATGAGGACTATCCTTGTATTTTAAGTACATCTTCATGTACTTACTGAAGAGAGACCTAAAACTTATCTGGCTATGTTCTATTTAGATCTTACTGTAATTAAACAGAACCCTCTGGGTATGTAAGGGGATAACTGAAAAAAAGGCAAAAACCTGTGTTCCAAGTAGTGGTAGTAAATTGTGTGCAAATAACTAAATCAGAGGATGTTAAGTTTTCTGTTTGGAAGTCAAAGGGGAAGTGAGACACATTTCACACTCAGTATACTAGTAGAGCTGTAGGTGTTTGAGAGGCGCTCATAATCTATAGGCAAGGATCTTTTCTAACACGGTAGTTATTGAGGCAGCTCTTCATTACTAAGGAAGCTGTTTTGTTTCTGTTCTTCAGTGTAGACAAGATATATTTGAATATTGTCCTCAAATTGCATTATACTTTTGGACAAGTCTTGGAGTGTAGTCCTAGAGTATACAATTTGGGGTGATTATGTTTACATCTGTGCTGAGGTACAGCATGCTGTAGCTGGAATAACAAAGAAAGCAGCTTCAATGCTACACTAATTTTTATAATGCAAGTTGAGACTGAAGATGGTATTAGTCTGTGGTTTTACTTTTTTTTTTCAATCATGTTTAGGGAGTCCTTTTAGCTCTAATACACTTAGATTTCTTACAGGCTAAGAGGTAATGCTTTTTATATCAATCAAGGGTGGCTTCAGATTCCTATGTTGTCTGTTTGTGACATTATTGTTCTGCCTGGGTCTGAGGTGTATTGTATTGAGGTCTGAGGTGCTGTATTGAGCCTCCTGTGCCTGTCTTATTCCTGATGTTTTTTAATGGCTGTTAATAAGTGAAGTGATTGCACTGTATTCCTACACGTTGTCCTAATTTTTATGCTTGTCTTGTGCATTTTTCATGCCGTAGATTTGATCGTGTAAGAAACTGATTATTGACCGATTTTTTTTTTTTTTTTTTTTTTAAGTTGTTATAATTCCCCCGCCCTTCCTTGGTAAGACAGTCTTAGTGGTTCTTCAGTGTTTCTCTAACAATGAACATCTCTCTGCCTAGGATGGCCAGCAGGATAAGGAGTGGGTGGGGTATTTCCGGAATTTGCCCGATTCGCTGACATCACTGCTGGTCCTGCTAACTACTGCAAATAATCCTGATGGTGAGCAATCTTTCAGAAACAACTCTTCTCTCCCTTTTCAAAGAATAATAGAATAAGATTATCTTCAAACTACTATAACCATTCTTTGAGCTAATATTTCTTAGTACAGCCAGAGGAAGGTTATGTAAAGATTTTTCATGCCTTTAGTATCTTGATTCTTGTTTTTCCTTTGGTGTAATTACATATGCAATTCTACAGTGGAGCTATATAAGAGCTTTTACCAATTGCCAAAAATTGGTAGAGATCTCCAGTTTTCATCTTAAGAATTAAATTTTTATTTCCTTTTTTTGTTAAATCTGATACAGTGATGATTCCTGCATATTCTAAGAATCGAGCATATTCCATCTTCTTTATACTGTTCACTGTATTAGGTAAGTTACCTCGTCTTCAGTAATTTAAATGCACTTTCACTTTGCTAGTGCATACTAGTTACAGTGTGTTTTATTTTTCTAGGAAAGTTTAATCATAAATTTTTCCTTTTTTCTGTTTCTTCCAATTACTGTGTAGTGTCTTATAAGATAATTTTCCTGGAAGGTACTTACGGTTTAGGTTTTTTTCAGTAACACACCATAGGGGAATGGATACATTACAGTATATTAAAACATTTAAAAAACATTTTGGAAATCAAACACAAGGAAACTAATACTTTTTAAAGTTTAGATCTGATTTACTATATATGTTGAAACTTCTTTGGGAAACAGAAATGTATTTCAGTAATTCTTACTGCCCCTTTTTCTCCAATAGGCAACTTGTTTCTGATGAACTTACTTACAGCAATAATATACAACCAGTTTCGAGGATACCTTTTGGTGAGTAAAACATTTCCAATTTCTGTGTTCTACTCTAACCTTACAACTGTGAAGCCTTGAGCATTAAAAGTTTCAACTGTGTATTAAAGCAGCATGCCCCTTTGTAATTGTAGATACGATTTTAAGATGCTAAAGGTTCTCTGATGTAGATAGTTTTCCCCTTATATGCTGTTGTAGCTTGATCCACTTGCATGGCAAAATTACCTGCTTGTATACTTCCATGTATGCTGAGGATCTGCAACTTTGACTATTACAGGAAAAAAAAAAATCAAAACTATGTTAGAACTGAACAAGGACAAGTGAACAAGTAACTTAAACTTGGTCTCTGTGAAGAAAACTTGCTGTACTTTTTAAATAGCTATTGTTGCAAATCCTAGCACTTAATTTCTCTGACTAGTACAGCATGAGAAGCCTTGGGGGGAAAAAAAAAAGAATCACTGGCTAAATCATCTTCACATTTGATACTTTTTACTTCATCCTTACCATGGTGGGTGGGTGTGATTTTTTAGAATGATTAGGACAGACTGCTGTCTATTAAAAGATGGACTTGAGCCTTGTGATTGACTTGTACCTGAAGCAGTTGCCAGTATGTATAGTAGTTATTCTTGGCAGTCTTCAATCTCAAATAAAAGGAACCTGTGCTTACTCTCCATGCAGTGCCAGTCATCTGTCTAGTACTTTAATGTGCTTCTGGAAGATGCCTGATCATATGTGATTCTTCCCACTCTGTTTTGTGGAATGTGAACCTGATGTGTAGTGTAATGACGTCTTTTGATTCAGGTGTCTATATTAGGGAAGTAAAAGCTGGCAAAGTAAGTGTACTTTTGCATGTTGTTCAAGGAGCGTGCAATCTGTAGTGGTGATTAAACTCATCACTAAAAGTTCTTTCTCCTTCATTAACAAGCTGTGCAATGTGCTTTGTATTATGTACACCAGTTGTTTAGTCTCCAGCTGGGAGTGTAGTCTGGATTCCCTTGGCAGGATAGAGTGTAATTGCTTTTGTTTGCTGTGTGAGGTTGTTCAGCGGCACTATCTGTGAGGCATTGTAATGAGCTGAGGCAAAACTATTTTAGAAAGCAGGGACAACATAAGTCAAATGAAAGAGCAGCTGTTGCTTCCAGTAAGATGTACTTCACCGAGAGGTTAAATTCGTGACTTCCCTATTGCTGTTCCAAAAAGAAGTAACTGACTGCGTAGGTGGTGGAAGGAAAGAAGCTGCGTGGATCCAGCTGGAAATCTCCAGAACTGGGTTTATCTCCAGCAATGAATGCAGAACATCCAAGGTGAAACAGAGTTACTGAGCAGTTAACACACATTGTAGATTAGTAGAATTAACACAGTGCTAGGCTAAGTATTAATAGGGTTATTACGCTGATGGCACACAACTGAATCTGTAGTCAGGCAGTTGTTGGTCAAACGGGGAACTGTCAGTCTCTTGTTTCTCCAAACAGGCTGAGTCTTGATCCCGCGGAGGTCCTGTCTTCAAACTGTTTGAGGTTTTCCTTTGAGCTTTGTAATTTTCATGGTGAAATTTTTCTCTTGAGTCTTGAGTTAGTTCTTCAACAGTTTCACTTCCACCTGTGTGTTTTACTTTCCTTTTGCATATTTTGTAAAAATTCACTGCTCAACAGCAATGTTTTTGGTAAAGCTGAGTCAGGTTAGTGCTGTGCAGAAACACTGGAGTCTGACAGCTAAACCTCTGGGCTGTAGGTTAAGCTTTTTTTTAACTTTGTGCCAGTATGGTGATGGCCTCTGT